TCTGCTCCCAACCACGGGGATAATGCTCCGGACTTGGAGACAAACTATTCCTCTATTCCTCAAGGAGAATGACCTACTCCTTGAGGCCCCACTTCAAGCCTTGGCCACCCGCACGACGAACCTACAGCTAGAAAACTGGCTTAGCCGGGGGATCTCAGGGGTACGTTCCTTGCTAACCCAAGAGGGCGTCAAACCATTCCCCGAAATTGTTAGGGAATTTAATATCCCAGCCAGGGAACTATTCACCTATTTGAGGCTAAAGAATATTATTCAGGAAAGCCGGATTACCATGAAAGAATATAACCTCATACCACCATTTGTCCATAAGTGTAAGGGGAAACTTCCCAAGGTTAAAGCACTATCCCTCTGCTTCAATACACTTCTTACCCAATATACGGCAAGAAAACCTTCCTACATGACAAACTGGGAACTGGACCTGGGAATACAATTCCCAGTAGCCACGTGGCATCAGGCTCAGAAGTTAACAAAGCAGGCCTCACACAGCCTCAACCAGTGGGAAACCTACTGTAAACTAACTATGCGTTGGTACCTGGTCCCCAAAAAATTGGCACACATATACCCTGATGCGAACAAACTCTGCTGGAGATGCCAAAATCAAGAGGGATCCCTATATCATATATTTTGGACATGTACACAGATCACATCATTATGGAAGGCTATTCACACACTTTTTTGTACGGATTTAGGGATCAAGGTCCCACTGACACCAGAAAGCTTTCTATTACACATTTTCCCAGACAAGCTTCAAGAAGAGGAAAGCTATTTAACGATCCATTGCCTAATGGCAACTAAAACTGCGATTGCCCAAAAGTGGAAATCCACACAGGTGCCCACGTTATCAGAAATTCTGGGCAGATTAGACTCGATATATAATTACGAACACATGGCAAGCCGTATCACTGAGAGGCAGAGTAGACATGAAACAAGGTGGCGTAGATGGGTGGACTATAGATATGGAAAGACATGAAAGACGATGCGGCATTTTTGACACTCTACCAAGCTCCTCAGTAAAAAAGGGCTTCCCAAGCTAACACCGTGTAACAGCTTCTAACTGACCATTTTCCCTTTTGCCCTTCTCTTCAACACCAACACAATATAATAAATACTCTATGCCATAGCACAACCTCGCTAATCCCCCACCATTCCCCCCTCCCGCCCCGGAAGTCCAAAAGTTAGGGCGGACAGATGCAAATTAGTGCCTTAGAATGTATCAGGCTAACTTGAATACAACTGCCATTGTATATATGTATATATGTATTATAGTCAGAAGCTGGTAAATTGTGTCTAATGACGAATATACAACTCTATGCATAGATGTTATTACTAATACTTTTTGTATGGCTATGATACAATGTTTATGCATGTCGCCCTCCCTTTCCCTCCCCCCCCCTTTTTTCTCTCCGTGTACCCCATCCCACGTTACCCATCTTTTGCATAATATGCATATTAAGTGAAAACCGAAAATAAAATACATTTAAAAAAAAAGAAAAATGCCAATCACTAATGGTGGGATGTAGTGTATGCACCTGTGCCAAAGCAAAAAACTAAGAAAATGAGAACTCTGAGAATGGACAAAAGCTTAGAGAAACTCTTTTGTAAATCCCCGCTCAAGTTTCAAAATAATATTTGCTCAATTTTTCAACTTTTTTTTTTTTTTGCACATCCTGTGGGTTAGAGAACATTTCATATAAGGTAGTTGGTTACATTGTTTTTAGTTATCACTTAATCAACATTATCGATAATTGTTGACACTTAGGATATATACACATTAACCTTGCACTGAATACTTGAAAATATGTGTTGAGCTCATTAAATCTGTGCATGAGTACGATGTTCCTGGGGTGATCTAATTTGTGAAGCTGCATCTGTTGTTTATGTATAGCTCTTCCATAGACCTGTGCCTTCTGCAGATAGAGCTTGTATTATGAGGTCATAGGTGCATCTGATGTTGTCGCAGGCCTGTCTGTTGGATATAAAGCCTACTTGATCTGGGTGGATTAGTTTGTTTAGGAAGGGGTTTATCCGATTGGCTAGAATCTTTGTGAGTTGTTTAATGTCTACATTTAGTAGTGAGATAGGACGATAGTTGCCAGGTTCTAGGACTGTTTTATGTGGTTTTGGGAGAAGGCAAATATTTGCCTGTAGCATGTCTGTTGGCAGTGGGTCCCCTGCTTGTGCAGAGTTGAATAGTTTGCATAAGTGGGGGTTGAGTATATTTGTGAATGCCTTGTAGCATAATCCTGTGAACCCATCTGGGCCTGGGCATTTGTTTGGTTTATGGTTTTTAATGTCTTTGGCTATTTCTTCTTCAGTGATTGGGGTGGCTATTTGGTCTGCTGCTGATTGGTTGAGAGCTGGTAGTGCGGTGGAGGACAAATATTGGTTTGTCAAGTCTCGGAGGGTGTTTGGTTCCAGGCGGGCTTGTGGGTTGCGATCGTAGAGTTTCGCGAAATATGTCTGGAAAACGTCGGCTATTTGGTTGGGTAGGTCTTTTATTTGTCTGTTTGGAGCTGTGATTTTATCTATGTGTTTATGTGTGGTGCGTTGGCGTAGTCTGCGTGCTGATAGTGTATCTGCTTTATTGGATTTTTCAAAAAAGAGCTGTTTGGTCCATTGGAGGGCCTTTGTTGCGTCTGTTGCCATGAATTCTTTTAGTTCAGTTTGGCACGCCGTGATTTGTGTTAGTATGTTAGGGGTTGGGTTTTCTTTGAATTTAGATTCTAGGGTTCTTTTGTTTTTTTTGTTTGATGCGAGGTTAATGAATGCGCCCCTAATAACTGATTTGTGTGCCGCCCATAGAATCCCTACGGATTGTACTGATGGGTGTTTATTGTGAAGTATTCAGTTAACGCGTTTTGGATGGTTTCAATGTTAGCTGGGTTGTGTAGGAGCGTGGGGTTCAAATGCCATGTCCAAGGTCTTGCTATGTTTGGCAGGTTTATTTTTAGTGTGATCTCTGCGTGGTCAGACCACGTTATGGAGCCTATGTTCGAGGTTGTAATGTGTTCTGTGAGGGACGGGGAAGTGAGGAACATGTCTATTCTGGAGTGAGAGTGATGGGGATGTGAGTAAAAGGTGTAATCTTTTGTAGTAGGATGTTGGATTCTCCAGATGTCTAATAGGTTGGAGTCATTTGCGAAAGTGGATAATAGTTTATCTGCATTGAATGTCGGTGGTTGGTTGCATGTGTGTGGTCCTGTGCGTTTTCTATCTTGGGTTGGTTGCATAGTGGCGTTAAGGTCGCCTCCTACAATGAGGTGGTGTGAGGGGAAAAGTTTGAGGTGTGCCTGCATGGTGTGCCAAAATGCTTTGTTTGGATGGTTTGGTGCATATATGGATGTGAACGCGTATTTTTGAGGGCCTATGCGTCCTGCGATTGTTAGGTATTTTCCTTGCGGATCTATGTGTGTTTGTGTGACGTGTAGGGGGCATGATTTTCGGAGCATGATCGCTACTCCGTTTTGTTTTCCTGTTGGGGAGTTTGCTGTGTAAAACTTATTCCAGCGGCAGCATACATGACGCTGCACGCTGGGAGACCGCCCAAGTTAGTACACGCCGGGGTCAGTCACCTGACCCGGCGTTAAAGGCACAGTGTCTCAATCACAGTGGGAGGTCTAGATATCTCCCACGTGTGATTGTTAATTCTGATTGGAAATTATCCAATCAGAATTAACCTTATGGTTTAAATACTTACCTTTCCTGTTCCTCCCTGCCCTGTTGTGGTCTTTGCTTGCTAGTATTGCGATTTACCTTGTGCTTCTGGTTACGTACTCTCTGGCTTGTTTATCTGACTCTGTGACTTTCTCCTACCCTTTGACCTCGGCTCGTTTCACGTTATTCTGTCTTCTGGTTCCCCTTACTCGGCTTGTTTCCTGACTATTCTGTGTGTGCTTAGCCCGGCCACTCTAAGGTCCGGTACGGCACCTTTTCTGTGTGTGTGTGTGTGTGCCAGCGTGTTGGGTTCCCCGAATCGTGACATTACAACAGGGCCATAATGGAACCTGCTGACATACCACAGCTCCTAGTTAATCAAGAGGCTAGAATGGATGGCTTGGACCACCGTATGGATCAGTTTGCTCAAGCTTTGCAGACTATACTGGCTCGTACTGCACACTTGCAACCTGCTGTTCAGGAGGCTGCTGCTGCTGTGCCCGAACCCATTCCCACTCCAGTACCCGTCCCCGCTCATGTAGTTCACATGACGCCGCCACAGCGCTACAGCGGTGACCCAGCATTGTGTCGTGGTTTCCTCAACCAAATCGACATCCATTTGGTGATGAATCCACGTTCCTATCCCACTGACAGATCTAAAATTGCCTTTTTGATAAACCACTTGTCCGGGAGAGCTTTAGCATGGGCCAACCCCATTTGGGAAAATACGTCTCCTATGTCCTTTGCAGATTTTCTGACAGCTTTCAGATGCACGTTTGATTAACCCGGTAGGGTTGCTTCTGCTGGCAAGGCTCTGCTTAGGGTCCGACAGGGTAACAGATCTGTAGCAGATTACACTATCGAATTCCGCACTCTAGCAGCTGAAGTGGTTTGGAATAATGACGCCCTCGTAACAGCCTTTCAGGAGGGTTTGGCCGCTTATATACTGGATGAAATAGCATCCAGGGAATTGCCTGCTCTTCTAGATGATGTTATAGACTATGTGATTCTTATCGATAACCGTATTAGAGAGAGGCGTAGTCAAAGACGGTTGGATACACGGGTGTTACCTGCTCTACCCAGTACTGCACTGCTAGCGTTACCCGCTCCTAGGCAACCATCCCCTGAACCCATGCAGTTGGGTGCTACGGGGTTAACTGAGGCCGAAAGAGCGTACCGTAGAAGGGAGGGGTTATGCCTTTATTGTGGGAAGAGGGGGCACCACTGTAAAGCCTGCCCTAAAGTACAGGGAAACTGCAGCACCTAAGGCCTAGAGAGGGGTCGGCCTCGGGTGTTATGACTTTGTCCCCTCATGTGTCCATCTCCAGACCGTTTATTACGGTTTCTCTTTTGGTCAATAAAACCACTATAACAACCAAAGCCCTGATCGATTCGGGTGCGGCAGACAACCTTATGGATGAGACCTTTGCCAAAACCGCAGCCCTGAATTTGATCCGAAAGGATACACCCTTGGCCGTTGAGGCCATAGATGGTAGACCACTGGAGAAACCTCTGGTGACCCATGAAACCCAGGAAATAGTTATGTCTGTGGGTGTTTTGCACAAGGAGAAGTTAACCTTCCAAATAATTGACTCCCCTACAGCCTCCATCGTTCTGGGTTTTCCTGGTTAGTTAAACACAACCCTGTTCTTGATTGGGGTTGTTTAGATATACTCTCCTGGGGGGAATCTTGTCAACGAGACTGTATGGCTCATGTACGTCCTGTTTGTTTACTTAACGTGCCCACGGCTAAACCACTCTCGGTTTCTGTCCCTTCTGTTTATGCAGACCTTGCCTTGGTTTTTGAAAAGAGGGAGGCAGATAAGCTACCTCCACATCGTGAGTATGATTGTGCCATAAACCTCTTACCGGGTACTATGCCTCCTAGGGGAAAGGTCTACCCTCTTTCTGAAAAAGAAAACCAGATCATGGAGGAGTACATACGGGAATCCCTAAGTAAAGGTTTTATTAGAAGGTCCTCCTCTCCTGCTGGTGCTGGTTTCTTCTTTGTGGCAAAGAAGGAGGGCGATTTGAGGCCATGTATAGACTACAGGGGTCTGAACAATATAACGGTTAAAAACGCCTACCCTATCCCCCTCATCACTGAGTTGTTTGATCGTGTTAAAGGTTCTAAATTCTTCACCAAATTAGACCTCAGGGGGGCTTATAACCTTGTCCATATAAAGGAGAATGACGAGTGGAAGACAGCGTTCAACACACGCAGTGGGCATTACGAATATCTGGTCATGCCTTTTGGACTGTGTAATGCTCCTGCCGTGTTTCAGGACCTCATAAATTATGTCCTTAGGGATCTGTTGCATGTCTGTGCTGTGGTGTACCTTGATGACATACTTGTGTATTCTCCTGATTTGAAGTCACACCATAACCATGTTAGGATGGTGCTCAAAAGGCTATTGCAGAACGGACTCTACTGTAAGTTAGAAAAATGTTTATTCGATCAGCAATTCCTAGGATATATCATTACTGAACAGGGTTTCAGTATGGATCCTGCTAAATTGGAAGCTATACTTTCCTGGCCAATTCCCCAAGGACTGAAGGCTATCCAGCGTTTTATAGGATTTGCCAACTATTATAGGAAATTTATAAAAAACTTTTCACCACTCATCTCTCCTATAACGAAGCTGACAAAAAAAGGTCTACACCGTAGGGTTTGGACTCCTGAAGCCCTTAAGGCCTTCAAAACCCTCAAGAAGGCCTCTGCTCCAGTGCTGCACCACCCTTATCCTTCTCTTCCCTTTGTTATGGAAGTAGACGCTTCAGAATCAGGTGTGGGAGCCGTACTGTCACAGAGGTTGTCGTATGACAAACCCCTCCATCCCTGTTGTTATTTTTCTAAAAGGTTGTCTGATTCAGAGAAGAATTACGATGTTGGGAACAGGGAACTATTAGCTATTGTGTTAGCTTTTAAGGAATGGAGGTACTTATTAGAGGGTTCTAGACACAAAATTATGGTTATAACAGATCATAAGAACCTCTCCTATATAGCTGATGCTAGAAGGTTATCTGCCCGGCAGGCTAGATGGTCTCTATTTCTCTCACGCTTCCAATATGTTATTACCTATAGACCTGGTTACCGTAATGCCAAAGCTGACACTATCTCTCGACAGCATGAACCAGTAGAATTTGTTAAACACGACTCCTGAACCTATTGTACCTGCGTCTCAGATAATAGCTGCTACACGTTTGGTTGTTTCTTCACCTTTCCTTGATAGTATTAAGACATACCAAACCCAGGCACCCCCAGAGACGCCGGTTGGTAAACTATACGTTGAAGCAAATGACAGAAAAAAGTTGTTAACTTTATTTCACACCGCCAAAACTGCTGGTCATCCGGGGGTTACCAAAACCTACAAGGGCCTCCTTCAACAGTTCTGGTGGCCTTCACTCAAGCGAGACGTAGTGGATTTTGGATCAGGCTTGTCGGGTCTGCACGCAGTGTAAGTCCCTTAATGTGAGACCCCAGGGTTTTCTGATGCCTCTATCTATACCCAAGAAACCATGGACCCACTTATCCATGGATTTCATTGTAGACCTGCCTCTTTCTGATGGTCAGACGGTGATACTGACTGTGACGGATAGGTTCTCTAAAATGGCGCACTTTATTCCGCTTAAGAAACTGCCTTCTGCGGTTCAGTTAGCTCAGGTGTTTGCCAAAGAAGTGTTCCGATTGCATGGGGTACCTCAGGATATCGTATCTGACAGGGGCCCTCAATTTGTCTCTCGGTTTTGGAGGGGCTTTTGTGCTGAGATGGGGGTCTCCTTGTCGTTCTCTTCCTCCTATCACCCGCAATCTAATGGTGCGGCCGAACGTGCTAATCAGTCTGTGGAATTGTATTTACGCTGCTTCACTAATGCGCACCAGGATGACTGGTCTCGCCTTCTTCCGTGGGCTGAATTTGCCAGGAATACAGTGTCTCATTCGTCTACTGGGTTAAGTCCTTTTGAGCTGGCTTATGGGTTTCGACCTTCTGTCCTTCCCGGTGCGTTCTCCGACAAGGGAATGCCCGCCTTGGACCAGCACCTCGCCTCTTTGCGGAAGACGTGGGATCAGGTCCATGTTGCGCTGTCTCGTTCAGCAGCTGCTCAGAAAAAGTTTGCTGATCGCCGTAGGGTTGCGGCCCCTTCTTATGTTCCGGGTGATAGGGTATGGTTGTCCTCCAGGAACCTCCGTCTCAGGGTTCCCTCGATGAAATTTGCCCCCAGGTTTCTTGGTCCCTACAGGGTGTTACGTAGGGTTAACCCCGTTTCCTACTCCCTTGACCTGCCTCCTTCCATGCGTGTCCCGAACACGTTTCACGGCTCGCTTTTGAAGCCCTTGCTGTGTAACCGGTTCTCTCGTCCCCTCGGGCGGCCCGTTTCCCCTCGCGCTGTCTCTGGCGACGTGTACGAGGTGGCTGCCCTTCTCGACTCTCGTGTTTCTAGGGGTCGGCTGCAATATTTGGTGGATTGGAAGGGGTACGGCCCTGAGGAGCGGTCTTGGGTTTCGAGCTCTGATGTGCACGCTCCCTCTTTGGTCCGCTCCTTTCATGCCCGGTTTCCTTTGAAGCCTTCCCAGAGGGCTTGAGTGGGTCTCTTCGACAAGTGTGAGCCTGATGGTTGGTCAGATTTGGAGTGGTTTGGTTTTGGGGTTTGTAGGTGAGCGTCCCGGTGGTTGTTTCTGTATAGTGTTGGGGTCCTTGGTTTGTGCCAGGTTTTTGTCTTGTGGTGGGTCTTGGTGCTGTGGAGGTTGGGCATGTGTTTGGTGTAGGCTAGTGGGGTTTTCTTCATGTGGAGGGTTTACTGTATTTGGTGCTGTGGTGGGTTTAGTGGGGGGGCTGGGAGGGTAATTTGTTTTACCTTGGAGTTGTTTGAGGAGGCATATGGTTGCTTGAGGTGTAAGATATGGTTGCTGGTGTCTTTCTTCCAGGAGCCCATATTGTGGGTTCGGGTTTAGGTGGACCTGGTCGTGGGTATTCATTTTCTCCCATCTCCTTGAGTTGACCTGCTGCGGATAACCTTGGTGTCAAATAGAGAGCCAGTGTTCATTGCGGGTAAAATTTTAGTACAGGCATTATGATTGTAGCAGGCAGATTGTGTGAGTTGTGGTGGAGCCCTAGTCTCCCTATTCCCTTTCCTCCACTGTTCGTTGTCATTGTCTGGGTCTTTATTGAGTGGGGTGGTTAGACCTTGCGTTGCTGGAGTTGGGAGGGGGTCGTTGGGGTTTATGCAGTGGGTGTTTAAGCAGTCGTGGCTCCCTTGTAGGTTAGGTAGGGGCTTTCGTGTGCTTTAGCGATCTCGGGTGGGGGCTCTATGTGTGTGTGGAGGGTCCACGTTTTGCTGTATGGGGGTGGGGGACCGCTTTTTCAGTCGTGTTGGTGGGGTTACAGTCTTATCGGGAGATGAATCTATATGGGTTGCGTCGCTAATCGTCTGGGTGGTGGCGGGCTCTGGTTAGTGTGCTCCTTTCAGGTGTTGCTTTATGATAGGGTTCTGATTGTCGCTTTGTCCTGTATTTTGTTTGTGTTCTGGCTGTCTGGGGTTGGGTTGGGGTCGGTCTGAGATGTCGAGGGTGTCTGTGCAGGTTGTGGGTACGTCATTAGGCTTGTAAGGGGTGGGTAATCTGGGGTCCTTCGGAATCCCCTCCTTTCTACTCCTGCCCCTGTTCAGTTTCCCTCCCCTTCCTCTCTGTACCCTCCCTCTTTCCCAACTTTCCCACTTCCCTTCGTGTACCTCTCATCGTGTTTATATTGGTCTTGAGAAAGATTTAAACATTTAAATACGTTCCACAGTAAACATTATACACAAAAACTTTTTCAACCTGTAAGTCCTAGCACAGTTAAGTAACTGACATTAAGGACCTTGAACTCTTGTATTCGGCCGGTGCTAGTGGCAAACGTATTGGGTTATGGTTTTGTCCCCTTTTGGGGGTTTGGGTAGGCCCAACTTAGAGTCAGGGATAGGCCTTTGTGGATGCTAGGGACATATTTTATTGAGTTGCAAAGGTCTTTAGTGCAGATTAGGTTTTTCCATTCCCTTCTCTCAGGTGGGTGAGTGGGTAGCCATTTTGGGCCGGGTCAAATCCTTTAGAGTAAGGTAGTCGGGGTTTGGCCCACTGGGTGACTACGTCAGGAGCCATTTTTGGGTCTGTTCATATCGGGAGCCCTGAGTGGTTGAGGCCGGGGCTGTGGTCTCATGGGCTTGTTCTCTAACAGGATAAGAGGGACGGGGGAAGAGCATGCTCGAGACCCCAAGGGGGTAGTTAGTGTTGGGAGGGGTTCTTATAAGTGTGCTGTGAATTGCTAGTAGGCTAAGGGGAATAGTAGTGGGGATAATCTTCCTGTGAGGGGGATGTGAGGTGGGCCCTGGTCCCGATCCTAGTGGTGTGTGTTAATTGCACCTGTGGGACTTTAGGGTGGTTTGGGGAAAAGTATACAGTTGGATGGGTATATACAGTTACCGGCATGGTGGAACAGCCATTCCGTGGATAAGTCCAGTGGTTTAATTTTGTCCATCAGGTTGTTAGTAGTGCTTGTTCCCGGGGGGTTGATGCTGGTTGTTTTTTGGCCTGTAGGCGGGATGGTGGCGGTTGGTTTTTCAGGCCATGTGATGGTTCTTGTCTGGTGTCCTCGTTGTCTGTTTCAGGTGGAAGTATAAGTTCCAGAGATGCCACGAAGTCCACCATGTCGGCAACATGATGCAGTTTGTGGGACTGGTTTTCTTTCCTTGCTATCAATTTGAAGGGGTGTCGCCATCCATGTTGGCTGCAGTGAGTGGTTTTAAATCCCTTTGTTTTCGTAATGTTGATGGTGCGAGATCTTGGTAAAACTGAACCAGGTTTCCTTGCACTTGTGGAGGATGGGTTCTGGCTATATTTATGAGGCGTTCTTTAGTGATAAAATTCATCACTTTCAGGACCATGTCCCGCGGGGTCGCGGGGTTGAGTTTTGAGGGCCGCAGTGCCCTGTGGACCCTTGCAATAGTGAGCTTGTGGTCTGGTATTTCTGGCAGCATGGCTTTAAACATATTCCATATTGTGGTATGCAGAGTGTCTGCAGTGATGGTTTCAGGGAGGCCACGTAGCCAGATATTGTTCCGGCGGGAACGATTGTTAAGATCTTCCATACCATCTTCTAGATGTTGGATCCTACTGTAAAGGGTGTAGATTTCATTGTCGTGGAGTTGTGATTTTTTAGAGATTTCTGTGAGTTTGGATTCATTTTGGCCCGTCTGGGCGGTGAGTGCGTCAAGGTCAGCACGCAGGCTCGTGAGGTGCTTTTCGAGCTCCGCGGCCGTGTATGCCTTGATGTTACTTGTGGCTTCTTGAAGAAGTATTCGAAGATCCCTTTTGGTCAGGGGGATATTTGGGTCTGTTTGTCTTTCATCGTCGTCCATTTCAGAGCCGGAATCCTCTCGGCCTTGTGTCGAAGATGGCGGCTGCTGATCTTTGTTGGGGTGAAATATCGTGGCCACCGAGGGAGTTGATTCTCGTTTTTTCCTGTTTCCTCCCATTAGGTGTGGAGGCCAAGGGTTGATGGTGTGTCTGGGGGTGGTAGGGTGTGATGATTTGGAGGTATAATTGCAGATGGATGCGGATTTAAATCCCAGGGGAGAGGGAGCTCAGGTTCTACACGTCTGGTTCCATTGACAGTCAGGCTCCACCCCTAGGGATATTATTTTTAATATGTGAAGTAACAGCCTCTTGAATCAAGAAGAGAACAAACTGCCACTCTGGAGTTGATAAGGAGTTGATTACTAGTTTGTTGCAAAATTGGAAAGGGCTTCAAACTGTTTTTTTTTTTTTTTATTCTTTTAGATCAACATCAAAATAGATGTGAGAAAGCTTGAACATGATGAATGCAAGTCTTTTTTCAGTCTATGTAACCAAGTAGCCATACAAAGTTATTATGAAACTTTGGAAGACTATAACAATGTAATTAAAATCAGTCCTCTAAAAACTTAATTGTATTAACAAGGTTACATTTTATTGTAGCCATTTCACATTTTGACTAATGGAATCTGGTGACATTTTTAGGCCTACCATCTCAACTTCAGTTCAGTTCCTGTTCATATTTGGCACTGGTTTATTCATTGTTTTCCACCTTGTTTGTTTTTCTTCTCTTTTTGTAACAGCTATGGAGGTAATAATCTTACATTGTAAATAATATGTGTCTCAGAGTTATTCATTGAATATTGCTTTATGAGTGTCAGGCTGACAACTCTCAAAATCCTAGAGATTGTAATAGGTTTATTTAAAAACACCTCACCTACGCAAAAAATAATGGGGGTTTAGTTACATTATATGATCATATATTGCATATGCCTGCCACAACATCAATGTACCCCATTCTTGGCAGGTCTTGGCATTAGGCTGCTAGAGTAGTACCTGCCAAGAATGGGGTACATTGACAAAACTTAAAAATTCTGGACATTTTTCAGATATGCAAGATCCACCTTAAGTATTACTCCAAGCACCCTGACCACTTTAGTGAATTGAAGTTCTCATAGTACCTGCAGAGTATGTCTGCAGTGTTTTGCTTGTGCTGCTATGCCCATTATGTATTGTTCTTTCTGGCTATTTTTAATATTTACTTTCCAGATAAAAACACAATTGTATATGTATCATATTGACCTTCCATATGTCTGAGGTGATGGTAGGTAATTCTGGTAGGTCAGCAGTTAGGTCATCAGCAGTCTGTTCCACTTGCAGACTATACACTCAAGCAGGGCCGGTGCAAGGATTTTTGCTGCCCTAGGCAAAAAAAAAAAAAAAAATGCCGCCCCCCATATGTCCTGCCCACCATGTGACATCACAATGCCCCACCCATATGCTCTGCCACATGGGCCAACGCCAGTGCTGCACACAGTGTCTTTTATCTGAAAAGGCAGTGTTTTTACATTAAAAAGCCTGCAGGCACAGGTTATAGACACCAGAACCACTACATTAAGCTGTAGTGCTTCTGGTAGTCTTCTCAATCCCCCCCCCCCTTAGTGGTCATCCTCTCCCTCCACTCCCTTTGTGGTCCTCTATCTCCCCCCTTAGTGGTCCTTCCCCTCTTCCCACCAGTGGTCCTTACCCTCTCCCCCTTATGGTCCTTCCCCTCCTCCCCCCTCAGTGGTCCTTCCCTTCTTCCCCCCTTAGTAGTCCCATCATTTCCCCCCCCCACCCCTTAGTTGTCCTTCCCTCCTCCCCTCAGTTGTCCTTCCCTTCTTCCCCCCCCCTTAGTTGTCCTTCCCTTCTTCCTGCCCTTCTTCCGCCCTTCTTCCCAGTCCTTTCCCTCTCCCCCACCCTCCGCCCTTGGTGATCCTTCCCTCCTCAGTGGTCCTTCCCTCTCCCTCCTTAGTGGTCCTCCTCTCCCCTCCTCTCCCAAAACCCTTAGTGGTCCTTCCCTTCCCCTCAGTGGTCCTTATCCTCTTCCCCTTGGTGGTCCTTTCCCTCCTCCCCCCCCTTAGTGGTCCTTTCCCCCTTCTCCCCCCCACCCCATCAGTGGTCCTACCTATCTATGGCATGACCACTTCCTGTCATTCTGCCAGCGGCCGGGTACAGGAAACAGAAGTTCCTGTACTGCGGTCCTCGCCACCCAGCCACGCTACATTGAGAGACCGGTAGGAGGGAGCGCTGTGCGTTTCCCTCCTGCCGGTCACCTAAATCTAGCGCCCCCCATGGTGATGCGCGCTAGGCGACTGCCTAAGTTTCCTATAGGACACACCAGCCCTGCACTCAAGCAGAAACAGTTAGACATGAAGTGAAAATGTAAGGTGGATTTAAGAACTATGTAGCATAACCACTGTTTAGTCTGCTCATTCATGAAAACCCCTGTCGTTTGGTGTGGAAGACCCCTTGTATGTGTGGGGGGTTTTCTGTGACTAGGAGACAAAGAGTATAGGTTCTCTTTCCAGTGCCCAGGTTCCCAGGCACAGAGGATCTTGGGATGGAAACCCCTGGTTGTTTGTGTGGAAGACCCCTCGCAAGGTGTTATGCATAAAATCTGTGTATGGCATAATAAATTGTGTTGTACTCCCAGAGCTGTGTCTCATCCAGGTACTTGGGGGTATGGGTGTCTTTACACTGTAGGCAGTTCAAGAGTGGCTAAGGGAAAGAATTAGTGGAGGTAACCGGTCGGGGTACTCAGGGTCCGCTACAAGCTAGAATAGGCTTGCATTAGCAATATCAATTTCTTCCATATTTGGATAGTATTTATTGGCTGAGCACATCAGATGATACTTTCAAGCAGCCAATGTATGGAAGTCTGTATATATTTTAATTCTGAAGGGTATAAAATGAAGTAGAATAATACATAGTGTAACTGTGTATATAAATAGTGAAAATATAATTAGCTTAAATAGCATACTCACAAAAAGAGAGCCAGTCCATGGTTTAATCACTTAAGGGTATTTGGTCTCCCAACAGCCAATCTGGAAACCTTCAATTGCAAAGGGGGTTTCGGCATTCATCCCAGGGAGAGTGATAATTTACAATAGAGCAGTATGCTATGGGTAATAATAAATTAGCTTATACAATTGGCATTTAGAGCCTTTAGAGCTCACTGCCTTATGAAAGTATTGTGGTTGTTTAGTGATAAGCACAACCATAGCAAAGCCAGATATGCACCGGATAGGTCGTACACATAAAAAGGCACTTTAATAAAAATGAACTCCAACAATAAAAAAAAAAAGACCAAGATGTGTTTTGTCACAATACATATGTGTCAAGTGAATAGAACAATGTCCATATGTCTTTTTTATGGTTTCTTTAATTTAGTTAGACTTCCATAATGTATTACTTTACTGAGAGGGAAGTGGATGCATTGAATAGCCTTCCAGCTGAAGTGGTAGAGGTTATCACAGTAAAGGAGTTTAAGCATGTGTGGGATAGACATAAGGCTATCCTAACTAAAAGATAAGGCCAGGGACTAATGAAAGTAATTAGAAAATTGGGTAGACTAGATGGACCAAATGGTTCTTATCTGCCGCCACATTCTATGTTTATATGTTTCTATGTTTCCTGAATATGACTGATACCAATTAGTATGTATCTCAAAACACATAAGCTACGTCTATAATCAGTAATCAGTTGTTTAGGATGCCATAGACTACAATAGCATCACTTGTTGAAGTTGATAGTACTGTATATACATTCACATAAAAGCAGACAACTATTAATTGAGCATTCATAGCTGCATTTTAGTAAAGAATTGTGCATTGTACAGAGTCACTTTAAACACATCACACATATATGAGCTGTTTGAAAGTTTGTTTTATCTCACCGTGCTTGTCTTTTCCTCTGAACAAAACTACAAAGGCCACTTGCAAAGGCAGACTAAGCAGTTGAAATAGAAGGTAAAAAGCTGCTTAAGAAATTGTTAAAAGCTTTTCTTCAACTACTATAAAAAGGAATGTCATATAGTATTCTGGAGTTTTTCCTCAAGCAAAAAAAAAAAAAATGAACAAATTTAGGTAGTATTTCTGTTAGTTAGCAGCATCAAATATCTTTGTGTGTTGGTCTTTGTGGTTTTCTGTCTGTTGGTCTGCATGGATATATACTAATTTATAACACAAAGAAATATCCCACTACTAGAATATTTGTATAGGAATAAACAATTGCTTATCAAAAAAATCTAATTAGTACTTCTATTTCACAGTAAGTTGTTTTTTTTTAGTTTAATTGTATAACTTTCTCAATAG